ATACAGTAGAGCGTCGTTTATCCGAATCAATTGGGGACTGGGGTGGTTCGGATAACTTATTTTTCGGATAACGAATTATGTACGAAAAAATATATTAATTTATCCCATGTTGAAATTTTTCTCCGTTGCGTGTCGCTTCGCGTTGAATTTTCGTCGATGTTAAGCCTAACGAAGACTATTGTATCGTTAAAAATTATTTTTTTATTTTATACAAACAAAATAAATATATTGAAAAATATAAAAACAATAAAAAATTATACTTCAGAAGTTAATTTAGTATCAAATACGTAAAATATTTGAGTAGCCCAAGATATAGCCAAAGATTACAGCGCCACAGCACTGGCGAAAATTTAAATTTGTCGACTGGAAAAGGTACTAGATTAGTACAAAAGTACTAGGTGGAACAACACTGGTGCTGCCTTTGTAGCCCCGATTCTGTTACCCGGTGTCGCCGTAGAGGCGCCTCGATCTAGTGTCGCTGTTTCTTCCACTATTTCTATAGTCTCTTGAACCCTGTGATCTTATTTGCGGGGCAGGGCAGAGTTTGCTGTACGAGGTAGGGTCCATTCGTATTCGTTTGTTCGATAAAACCGTAGCCTTCTCTAGATGTATTTTTAATATCACAATTACATTCTGAATCGCTAGGCACGATAAGGGCTAAAATTAAAAAGAAAATTATAAAAAGTTACTTGGTGAAATAAAATGTGCGGTGGATGTACTGTACTGTACATACCTGGTACAAAATATTCTTCAATTGTATGAATATACTTTTAAAGAAAGTTATAATTAAATATAGCTTTGTAAAGAAACGTACATTAAAATAACATNGAAAATTATAAAAAGTTACTTGGTGAAATAAAATGTGCGGTGGATGTACTGTACTGTACATACCTGGTACAAAATATTCTTCAATTGTATGAATATACTTTTAAAGAAAGTTATAATTAAATATAGCTTTGTAAAGAAACGTACATTAAAATAACATCAAATATTCTTTACTTTTTAAATCTTAAAATCCACGTAGTTAAAATTGCTCCCTACAAGTGGCTAATGGATGGAATTAGAGACGGTCCTGGTAGGTGTGCAGTGCGTGCATGCACGCGGACTGCCAAATCGCAAGGGTGCCGATACTGGTCAATGTCAAATGCCTTTTTTGTCGCATCACTAGTATACCTCAAAGGACGCGACAGGGTTGTAAATTTTAAACGTTTCTCATCATACCTGTAAAAATCTAAATACAGTATGTTAAACTTAATAGATTGTCCGTCGTTTGTTTTCTAACTAATTCGTTTTAGGACCAAGTGTCCACGGAAATTTTCAAAATTTACAACTTTTCGGTCACTCTCATTGAATTGGAAAAATTTCTGTCTTTATTACATCTAATATTACGAAGAAATCAGTCCTTACTGTACTGGGCTAGAGATTGGTTCGGTTAAGCTTTTGTTTAAGAGAAAGCAACGTGCAAGATTTACAGGCGCAGATGCGGTTTTTTGCGTTTTTGCAGGAAATCGAAAATATTTTTAGACCTATCTAAAAAGTTTCTAATTAGTCTGGAAACAGGGGGACCTAATTCTTGCATTCTGTGAAAATGGATAAGATTGGCTATAATGTAATAATCTTAATCTTCGCTATCGTTACTTTTTGCCGAGCAACGCCGGGCGTATCTGCTAGACCAGTGTTCCGCAACCTTTTTCTACTTGCGGCACACCAAAATGTTATTCCCCTCAAAAACGTATGATATGATACTATTAATAGAATTACGTAATGCCACTAACCTATTATTATTGTTATTATACAGACATCAACACCTGTGAGCAAATTTTTTTACATATAATTTTTTAGAATACATAAAAATGCGTGGCTTGTAATAAAGAATAAACAAACATCATCTTATTTAATCAGTGCTGCGGCAGAGAATGAAATACAAGCATAAGAAACACAGCAACTGAGATAAAAATATATAAATAAAATTTGAAACAGAAAATGTAAAAGTTCACGTCACATCTTTCACCATGTGACGGCACACCGGTTGCGGAACACTGTGCTAAGACAATACAGCGCTTTCATTCCGCCAATGATATTCGAATATACAATCTTATCGTTTTTTTCACATGTAGTATAGAAATTTGTAATAAGATATATTATAATATGCGGTTATAATAAAAAAATATTAATTTTAATTAATTCAAAATACGTTAAAATATGAAAATAATCGCACAAATGTGTTTATATTTTAGAAAATACAAGGGAAGCGGCGCTTCCATCGCTTCCAAGGACGGCACGCCACTTGCATTTACAATTTATTTTATAAAACCCATCCCTGCCCTCAAAATTAAGCTTTTTGCTATTTCATAATAATTGAAAATATAAAAAGTTTTAAATAATAAAAATATTATAACAGATAGCGCTACACGCGCAGTTTTAAATGTTGCCAGGAAAGTTAAGCTACTCGTTGCTGGATCTTTTAATTAATAAATAATCTATTGTGTAACCTTTACGCTTTGCAGCTAATTATTTAACCAAAAATTCAAACTGTGCCAAGAACTGTCAAATGTATTAATTACCTGTAAAGTTTTATATTGAAAGAATAAATATCTAATAAATACAGAATTGATAAGAAAGTATTTCATTATATTTTATATTAAATTTAAAATGTAACCATACCAAACTATATTCATCATCCAACACAGTTAAATTAGAAAATTCAAACTGGATAATTAAACAAAATAATGACTAATAAAATAACCAAAAATATTTATAATACTGGATTCACAAAATAATGAATCTTTTATGAATCCAGTATTATATTTTTGGTTATTTTATAAACCAACATTGAATTACAATTTAAGAAGAAAATCAGACATTAATTTGAATACTAATAAGTTTTTAAACATTTTTAGAACAAATTCAAATTATATTAAATTTATTCCAAAAAAATATCAAACTATTGGTAATTATTATAACCCTATGAGGCATTTTAAAATAATCCAAAATTGATTGTTTCTTTTTAGTAAAATAAATGTTGTATTCATAAAAGTTTTCTTTATTCTATAATTAATTTAAGAAGTAAATAAACATTAGTCTTTTCTTGCATGAGCCACCAAATTGAAAATAATGCATTTCTTACATTAGATCTATTGATATTAAGTCTGAATTTTCTAAAATTATATTTAAAATTACTTTTAGATCTGTATGAATACTTTTTGTATTACATAGATTTTTGTTTGTTATTATTATTATTATCCTCAATTACAATAAGAACTTAATCTATTATTAGTGGCAAAAGGTACTTATGGGTTAAGAGGACGCCAGTCGGAAATAGCGTTTTCTCCGAATAATGCAATTTTTTATTTGTCAAATTTAATAAAATTGTTAAATCAAACAATAAATTACGATTTATAAAGATATAACAAAATTTCACAAACTGTAATAATAAACCACTTGAATATACAAATTGTTTTGTAGTGTATATGACAAATAGGCGATCTATTATCCTAAATTATCCTAATTGATTTTTTTTTCATTTTTACAACCTTATCAGTAAATTTTCTTCTTTTTACATTTAAATTTACTAGTCTATTGTTATTTTGATATTTTCATTCAAAATAGCGACTTTGATTGCTATTTCCAACTGGCGTTCTCTTAACCCATAAGTACCACTTTCTGTAACTAATTTCATATAAGAATATTTAGAAAAAGGATAATTGTCAGTTTATTTAGGAAATTGTTATTTCTTTTAAAGAATATTTAAAATTTTTTAAATAAAATAAAATAATTTTAAATTCAAATTGTTAAAACAAACTGGAAAATAACTCATTTCAAGCAACTAACTTTTCATTCCAGGACTAAATCCTTTCCTTTTTTCAAATGCTTTTGGGTTTATTCAAAACCCTTCTCCAGGCTTTCCAAACTGAACATAAAATTCAGTATATACAGTACATTCTAATTATTTAAATACATTTTCAGTTTTAGTTGCAAACATGTCATACTAAAAGATATTTAAATAATTAGGCTATTTAATGATTATATTCTATGTGTTTGATTTGAAAAGCCTAAAGATAGGTTATGAATGAATCTGAAAATATTTGCAAAAAGGAAAGGATTAAGTGCTGAGATGAAAAATTAGTTGCTTGAAAAAAAATTATTTTAATTTTAAAAACGTATTGATTTGTTTTATAAATAATTATAATAATTATAT